TCCTCTGCTGTGCTGCGCGTGCGGTGGATTTTGGTGCCCGCTGGGTTTTGATCGGGCATGCGCCTTCTGCCGTACAAACGCCAAATCCTTACGCATGCGCCTTCTGCCGTTTGTTTCATATCTAGTACTTCCATCATATAAATATAAAGCCAACGATTGGTGGCTTATTTCAAATTAATTTAATTCAAATGCCCATGGGTGCGTGCAAAGGGTCAACTCTGTATCTGTATGTATACTTACCAAGTGCTTTTAATATCTCTAATTCAATAATGATGATGCATCTTTCTAATATCTCTAATTCAATAAAAAAAATGTCCCCCTTTTCTGTGCTTTGAATATATATGCCCACTAAGCCACCAAAATGTTTTTGTTACTGCTTAATATTATTGTCAATGGTCTCACTTTCTGACCATTCATTGTTTACCTCACCCATGCTTACTATTTTGACTCTTCTTGTCAATCATGTGGTTGCCCCTCTGGAAAAGCATCTCCTTTACTGCCATTGGCCAACAGTGATTATGTTTCTGTATGTATTGCTCTACTCTAGAGGTGACTGTGCATTTCTTCTATGCATGCAAGTGTGAACCGTCATTCGTTACTACTCATATCATATATATGCCATGTTCTAGATTAACCCTAGCTATATCAGATCAGATGCCAAGTGTGGACCGCAGGTCTCCATTTCGATGTCCTGTCTCCTAGCAGTATGCCTTGTTACCTCTCTCAAGAAAACATGTCCTTAACTGCTAGCGTCCACGATTACTATGTTTCTGTATGTATTGCTCTAGAGGTGACTGAATTTGTTCCGTACACGCAAGTATGGACTTCTAGGAATGATTGTGGGTACTATTATCATGCGCCATGTTCTTTATTAGCAAACCATCATTGACTTGGAACAATTTTTCATGCAGATCAGCGGGTTAATCAGGGGTTAGAGTATTATTGTATTTTCACTAACATGCATCTTTCTTCCGGTTGGGAAGTGTTCCCTTTGGTTGTTTGTGCATAGAATAGATCTGCCCACCAAGACACCAAACTGTTTTAGGGCTTGATGATGTGACTTACTGATTATTGATTGTTTACATTTCAGCTGACCACCAACGTCCAATCAACATATGCTGCTGCAAATGTGTGCTCCAGATGGGCTACTTTTGCAAGAGCTTTCAGGTAACAACCTTCTTATTTTGGTTTTATACAGTAGTATAAAATCCGGGGAAGATCCTTGCAGCATGCATATGTAACTAACTCTTCTCTGTGCTTCTATTTATTCCTCAGTGCAAAGCCAATTGGAAATGAGGTTATTGGAATTGATTTGGGAACGACCAACTCATGTGTCGCGGTTATGGAGGGAAAGGTGTGTCCTGTGGCCCCAGCATACATACTATACTCTCTCTGCATGTACATGTTTTGTTCTCTGCTAGTTTCCTCCTGTTTTAAAATTGTCTGATCAATTAACACCTCTCTCTAAATAAATGCAGAATGCAAAGGTGATTGAGAATTCTGAAGGCGCCAGAACTACACCGTCAGTTGTTGCCTTTTCTCCGAAAGGAGAGCTACTCGTGGGAATTCCAGCCAAGCGGCAAGCAGTGACCAACCCACAGAACACCTTCTTTGGCACAAAGCGTATGATTGGGCGTCGTTTTGATGACCCACAGACGCAGAAGGAGATGAACATGGTACCATATAAGATTGTGAAGGCTCCCAATGGAGACGCTTGGGTTGAGACCACAGATGGCAAGCAGTACTCGCCCAGCCAGATTGGTGGCTTTGTGCTGACCAAGATGAAGGAGACAGCTGAGTCTTACCTTGGCAAGTCTATTTCCAAGGCTGTCATTACCGTTCCAGCTTACTTCAATGATGCTCAGAGGCAGGCCACCAAGGATGCTGGCCGTATTGCTGGGCTTGATGTCCAAAGGATCATCAATGAACCAACTGCTGCTGCTCTGTCCTACGGAACAAACAACAAGGAGGGTCTGATTGCTGTATTTGACCTTGGAGGAGGAACCTTTGATGTCTCGATTCTAGAGATCTCTAATGGAGTGTTTGAGGTCAGTGTTTGCTGTAACTTGCCTCTTAATTACCAGTAGTTTGCTTCAGTAAGGAAATTAATTAAGTTGTTATATAAACAGTGCTTAGTTTCCATTGCTGATATGGTGGTTGATTGATTATGTTCTTGATTGTCAGGTCAAAGCAACAAACGGTGACACTTTCCTGGGTGGAGAAGACTTTGACAATACTCTGTTGGACTTCTTAGTGAGGGAGTACAAAAACACTGAAAATATTGATCTGTCAAAGGATAGATTGGCCCTGCAGAGACTGCGTGAAGCAGCTGAGAAGGCGAAAATCGAACTCTCCTCAACTACCCAGACTGAAATCAATCTTCCCTTCATCACTGCTGATGCCAGTGGAGCAAAACATCTGAACATCACACTGACAAGATCAAAATTTGAGTCTCTGGTGAACAGTCTGATTGAGAGGACCAGAGAGCCATGCAAGAGCTGCTTGAAGGATGCCGGCATAACCACCAAGGATGTTGATGAGGTCCTTCTCGTCGGTGGAATGACAAGGGTTCCGAAAGTGCAGGAGATAGTCTCTGAGATCTTTGGCAAGGCCCCTAGCAAAGGAGTCAACCCAGATGAAGCTGTGGCCATGGGTGCTGCTATTCAGGGTGGCATTCTCCGTGGAGATGTGAAGGAGCTTCTTCTCCTTGATGTTACCCCGCTGTCACTTGGTATTGAGACTCTTGGTGGTATCTTCACCAGACTGATTTCCAGGAACACTACCATCCCCACCAAGAAAAGTCAGGTTGGTAATCATGTTCCCATTCCTCCTGAACTAGTATAAACTAGATCGGAAACGCGCCTTGGCGCGAGGGTGCCGGTCACAACGATGTGTCCAAGCAGATAATGCTCAATTTAGTAGGAAGCCAGGTTTAGCGTACGTATTCAAAAAGATACAACGGACTAAAAGGAAGAAGAAACATTCAAACGTAATAGGAGCAAAACATCATCGAGTTTGACATCGTCATGAGAAATAAGGCAACATTCAGTTTAGTGCGCTCATGAGACCACAAAAACTAACCGCTTGACATTAAGTTTGGTACTAAGAGCGCGGACATGAGAGAGGAAGTACCAAGAGCAGAAACACATAAAAAGATAAAAACTACATAGCCATAGCTATTAGGCATACTAATAAGTTGCTTCATTCGGCTTCCTTGTCGATCAACTTTATAGGTGACATGTCACATTACCTGATGCAAGTGATCCGCAAGATAAATTGCATAGAACATGCGTAAACAATGATGCACTTGCGATTTTGTATCTTAGCCTTTAAGCTCATGGACAGTGAGTGATGGTCTCCCCTTTTCAATTTTGAAGGCAAAGACACCTATGGTACTATCAGAGAGCCTGACAAATTGTTTGTTACCCGGATGCACTAATATTCAACCGGTAATACAATCATTGGAGCATTCTATATAAAACATAGAATTATCAAAGAACTGGCCTACAATGCCTCTCAATTTTGATGTGGACTTAATAAAAGAGGTGCTACTTGCCAAACCCCAACTCCCACGTAATCCCGTTTTCACTAACCCGGTAATAGAAAAAATATGTATGTATCTCAGAATGGAAATGTATCAAGGATCAAATTGATAAAAAAGAAGTTCAATGATCAAACCTCTGATATAACTCTTTTTGATTAACATATGATATTACTCAATATATCTCATGATGGAAATATATCTGATATTACTCAAAGAGTAGGTGATGGTAGATACTCACAACAGTAATCATCCCGTAAAATATCTAAAAAATGACCCTATCTACATGCCATTCGCGCATTTGTTATAAATGTGACATGAAATACTTAAGCAAGGTTTGGTATGATAGAAACCAAAAGCAGGCCATAGTATTAGTCCCACCTAACTTATTTACATTGTTTTCTATACTGCATAATACTATAGTAAACTACATGGTTGACCATTAGATATATAACTTTGTCCACACGCCTTCATCCAATTTGCTTGATATATAACTTTGTCCACACTCATTTGATTAATTGATTTGCTTGCATGTTGTGACGCACGGATTTGCTTGATATATAACTTTGTCCACACTCCTTCATTTGATTTGCTTGCATGTTGCGACACACGGATCTGCTAAAGGACATATCATGTTAGGCAAACTATTCAAATAGATACCTCATGGATAGGGAGAAAATAATTTGGCCTTTATGAAGGAGAATCGCTTTGGATAATATTCAGTGATCTGGATATAGTGTAACCTCTTTAACATAAAACAATATAAAAGATAAGAGTAAAATTATTTTACCTTAGTATTCTACATGGCACCCAGAAAACATAATAAGCCTACTATACATAGATATCCTCTAAGATTTTCTTTAGGCACAAAACTTGATTACACTATGCGATGAATCAAGTAAAGGCATCTCACCATTATTATGTGCCTAATTATTTAACACTGACAGAGGTTTCCAAATTGGTGGTTTTGTTTTGGCGTATAAAGAAACTGAAGTTCATAATATATAAAAAAGCAAATTAATAGAAATTATATATTGCAACCATGAATCCAATCCTCTAGTGATTACTCTCATTCTAAAGTTAGAACAAACCAATAAAATTAGATAGTGCAACCATGAATCTCCTTTAGTGAATAATCTCGTTCCAAAGTTAAACTAAAGATGAGAGCTAATTATATATGCACAAGGCATCCAGAGAATTGATCTGGTTGCTATGCATAAAAAGTCTGTGCATGATGGAAATGTAGAGACTATATATCTCACCGGCTGACATCCACATAGAGTGGAGGTAGAGGAAGCTCGCCGGCTAACATCACCACAAGGAGGAGCTCAGGTTGGCTTTGGAACTGCCTGGTGTCACCGTGGACGTCCAGAAGCAGTCCAAGCGGCGTTGTCACCATGACCTTTTACTCTGCAGGCAGGGTCACACTCATACAGAAAGAATTGTTCCCTTCCATCCACAGAACACAAAATAACAAAGGTAAATAAGTTGTCTACTCAAAATTTGGAACACTTCAACTAATAGGATGACAGAAATAGAAGGCTGTCGGGTAAAAAGCAAGTTCACTAAATTCGGCGGATGATTAGTAATTTAGCATACTTGTAACCCTGCTCATGGACATACACATCCTCACATTTAAAGATTTTCAATTAACATAACCCAGTGCTATAGTGATAGTACATTCCAGCTCATTCGAAAAAAGAAACATTGCACAGTTAAAAACGAATATCAAGCACAAGCACATGGAAAAGGACCACCTGGACATTTTTTCCGTTTTGAGTTAGGACCACCTACAATGTTTTTCTGTTTTGAGCTTGGACCACCTCAACATTCACCACCAAAACAGAGAAGAGAAGGTTCCAAACAGAGCAAGTCAAGGAACAAATTATCTACTTGTCTATATTAATGGATCAGATGATGCAATTATAAGTCATGGAACTATTTCTTTAATGCATAGGAAGCCAAAACAATTCATTAGCACTATTCTCGATCAATTATCTGAAGTCATGGAACTATTTTTTTAATGAACATCTCATTAGTATAACTTATAAATCAATAGAAACAAATAATAGGTGGACCCAAATATGAATGAGGAACCCAGCAGCTTTACTGTATGCAAATTAAAAGACTTCAACTCTATATCGATCAAAAGAGTCTCTTGTGGTCTAGAGGCTTAAGCTCACAGAAGCAGCACATAATTGATCTAGCAGTGAGAAAAAAACAATTCAAGGGATGTGAATCAGTGACATATCTATAAAAATAATAGGTGGAAATGGGCGGATTTATCAGAAGTTAAAAATCTTTATCATTAGTACTGAAAGATCCCACCAGCATCACCATAGTAAACAAAATAGGCAAGCAGTTGAGTAATCGGAGAGCACACAAGCATCCAAGCAGGCCATTAACCAAGGAAACATCATTAACTGGTCTGTTGGCTAGCACATGTCTCTAGGGTTGCATAATTATACGTAAACCAAGTGTGCCTGGTGGCCTTGATCGGTGAGGTTTCCTTGTGGATGCGCAGGGTACTGGTAAGTAGTGGAGTTTGTTTGTTATGCAGATAATATTACATGGTAGGTAAAGAGTGCATAGGCCCAATATATCTAAATTAAGCTCAATGCTTTCAACACATGGATTCTTTTCATGTAACAGTACAACCCAACCACTGAGGATCCAATGCACATCAAGGCAGAACAAAAAAATCAAGGAAAATATACAATAACATA